GGCTTCAGGCTTCCATGGCTCCCCAGTGAAAGACCACCCCAGGGCTCTCCTAATGTGAATGAACCAGCGGACTCTGAGTCTCCTGCTCATCCTCGCCATTTTTACAAGCATGTCTGTTATTGGAGGCAAACTCAGCATTTGTTAAAATGCAGCCTGGAAGCATCTGAAGACGCAGCATTCTTATTGTAAAAACATACAAATGTATTTTAAAACTTATAAAACATATCCTGATTTATGTCTCAGATAAAGCCTCTGACTTCATTTAATGCGTATTAGCAATGCTTGTGTTTCGGCACACTGGTATCTAAACACTCAGCGATGCAGTGGTCTTTATGCCAACCAACCCTCACAAATTCAATGTTTTTTATTGTCTGTTTTTCTGAAGTCTCTCCTTCACCTGAGCTGGAAAATCAAGGCACTTAACATCTGGACAAATTAAAGCTTTGGAAGTCTGCCTGTCTGATTTGCCATGGTGTTGTTACAGAGTTTTTGTTCCTTATGATTCTCCCATGCAGCCCAAATATTAATTGCCAGAGATCAAATCCAATGCAAGTTCTTCAGTTGTTTTCCATCACTTTGACTTGCCCATATGGAACATTCCCAAAGCATCAAAAGTCATTAGTATTTTTTAAACACTGAAAATCTCAGAACTTATCATTTCTGTATCAAAAGTGCTTTTCAGTGATCGTAAAGGCTTCTCTCTCTAATAAATGCCATCGCTGAGGTATTGGAGCTGATGTCAACAATGCCACAGATACTGGGTATAAGAACAGTAGCAATGAAAATACATAAGGAGAGTGGTGAGGGGAGAAACAGAACTGAAGCGCTCTTGAAAAAGGAAGTTGGATTAATTTTCCCACTGGATTTTTCTTGTTTACACTTAGCTTGAAATCTTGGAAGGAAACATAATGAAATTATTACTTGGTTATTTTACTTTGAAAAATAGCCATATCCACTGGGAAAATAAGAAATCCTTAAAAATATAAACAAGTTATATTCAAGTGAGTCGGTCGTTCCTCTACCAGAGTGCCATCTCTCTCTGCTCTCTTTGCAGCATTTCCTTCTTACCATCTCCAGCCACCTTTTCATCCCCCTCCCCACTTCCAATTATTAATTTTTGTCCCAATACCATTCTCTCCATCCTCTAAGATCTATTTCAGAAGCTAGCTGTCACTTCTTCATGGACACAGGCATTTGGGGTACACCATTGTTGTGTGGAATGGGCCAGGCTTTCCTGTTGATGAGATGTGGCCACTCTCGACCAGGACACTCGGTTCACGTGCGTGCAATGAACCCTGCAGGAGCCTCTGTGCTCTAACAGACTCGTGACACTGGACAATCTTCAGGGAAGTTCCTGTATGTCAGTGGTTGGGTAGGATGAACTGTATTTTCGGTGAAACATGATTGTTATTCTCTTCCCTTATTTAGACTTAAGAGGGGTTTTGTTACTTTTTTTGGTCTTTTATGATCAGAAATTTCATTTTATTATCCAGACTTTTGTTTATGTAACTACAAAATATTATTGTAATATGTGCTTTCTAAGTATGGACAACCCAACAGGATAAACCTGTGAATCTGTATCGCTCTCACTACCACTGAGCATCCCCAGAACAGTTCTCAGGATCTGTAACATCTAATATACATACATACCTAACAAGTAATTCTGAAGAGCTCAGTAATTTTCCTCATTTAAAATCTTGGATGATAAGTTGTTGGACTTGAATACATTTCTTCTGCTTTTGATCACCCAACATCAAATTACAGGCTATAACATAAATTCTAGACGTTTTGCAACCTACTCGTCACTAGATTCAGGTTTCCTAATTTTTCAAGAAGGGGGAAGGGCTGTTGGATTCAAAGTGAGCGCTGACCTGCAGTGACCCCTTCTGGAAAGCACCAAAAATGTACCATTGGAAACAAACCTGTACTGATTCAGGGGGTGCGTGTGGGAACTACTTGACCTAATAGCTTTTTCCATCTCTATTCTTATGATTTTTAATCATGTTTGTTTGGAACAGCCTCAGCCTTCACAAGCTATTTGCATGGGTAAGGCTCTGGAGCAGATATACATGTCATCCATTAGCATCCAGCAGACCAGAAAAGGCCCAAAGGACGAGAAAAGTTTCTTTGTAGCTGGAAGCAGAAAATAGTAAGACATTATAAGAAAAATGGCAAAACATAGTCCATTTTCAGACAAGGACAGGACACAAATTAGTATGAAAAGAAAATGGAGCCTTACAGAACGTCTACAATATGTAATCCCAAAGCATCTCAAACAAGGGAATACAATTTCTTTGAGAACAGTCCCATAAAATCTCTGGAGGCCATAAGCAATCGGGACATAAGTTTCTCATCTAAAATATGATACTTCTTTGCTCCTGAGCAGACTCACACTTGGGAGCACAGGTTTAATTTTTATTCAAAAGGAAAAGGAGTAATTCTTCAATGGCCAGTGACATCCTGTTCTGTTCCTTGGAAATGTCCAGTTCTATCTAAACTGGATGACCCTCCACAGTGTTGACAAATCACAGACCATGGCTGAACCGGTTTACAGAAAGAAAATAATTTTCTTTTCTCTCTTGTGTACATGAACATAATATTCAAAGCTATATTTCTTCACCCTTGAACACAAGGGCTTGATGAAATAAACACATTCAAAACTTATCTGTAAGAAATCAGATATTTGTCAAATTTCCAAATTTGGAAAGAGATTATGGGCTTCAACTCAAACTGGCACATGCTTTGTTTGTCTCCTCGGGACTCGATGGTCTGCACTGCTAACAGTTGTAGAAAATATAAGACAAAAAAACCAACCAACCAACCAACCAACCAAACCAAACCAAAACCAAACAAAACAAAAAAACCCAACCAAACAAAAAACCCCCACATCTCGGGAGAGGACACAAATCACTCAATCCAGAGAGTGCAGGTTTTTAAGAAAGCAATTATCTTCCTTGTTTACATTAAATTATGTGTCACGTAAATTCCTTTGGAGACAGCGTGTCTTTAAAGGTGAGGCAAGGAAGTGGGGTACTTACTGTATTTGAACTACCACCATATTGCTGGCCTCTTCCTGCCTGACCAAAAGCCACACTGCTGCTGAAGTATCTGCTTCAAAAGTCCCACGACATGGAGAAACTCTTGGACAGCCAGTAACCCTTTGTCTACATATCTTTACCATGATAAGGCAGCACTGTGCTTATCAACTGTTGGTTTCCATGACATGAAGAAAGCCACCCCTTTAGCTTTCTCAATCACAAGAGGCCAGCAGAAGAAATTGCATTTATTTTAAGACATTGAATAAACTCTCCTATTATGTTGTTGCAGACAAACTCCTTCCACTTGGATAAAACTCACTTTATAAAGGAAAAAAAAAACAACCCTCATAAAAATGTGACATCACTACACCACTGTGCATAGCAATGTTCCTTCTCCTCATAAGGATGTCATTCCCAGACTGGATGGCAGCAAATATTTTGTTTGGCTCTTATGTTTAAGATTTTTGACAAGTTAAAGATCACCCTGCTTCTAGAAATCATTATATAGCATAAAGCAGCAAGAGAGGAAGAGATCTTTTCCGGCAAGCATTCTTACTCAATTTGCTCTCTGAATAACCGTGATGGCCCTGTTTTCATCACTTGGCATAAAGCACAAGAGCCTGGACAGAAGCCCTGCCTTCATTCCCACTTCTTTGGAAAGTCCCGGAGCTAAGTGCATAGATCTGCCACATAAAGAAATTTGCAAACTAGACTGTAACAAGAAGCAAGTGCACACAAGAGGATGGAGGTGGAAGACCTACTGTGACAGGAAGAGCAAATTATATTTTACAATAAATTTTACATTTATGTGACAGTTTACATTTTACACCACATTTTAGCTATAAGCTCAAAAAATGTACAAAAGACCTCAGATGATTGCTGTTGACCACTGATGGAACTGAATGGCATGAATTTCCATCAATGCACATGACCCCCAAGTGATTTTAATTTACTCAGTTAGTTTTCACTTGCTGAAGTGACAGAATGCAAACAAGCACTTGCAGAAACCCCATGAATGACCTTTCCCACAGAGTACAGTCCAACCAAAGTACTCTCTTTACAAAGATGCAGAATTATCATCTAAGATGAACCGTTTGTTGGTATCTGAAGTCTCAGTAGACTAAGCAGGCTCTAAGCAGGCACCTCTAGGCTACCTTCCATGAAAGGCAGGTGTAAGAAGCCAAGAGGTGAAGCATGCTAAGAAAGATGATGGGAAAAGTGACCTCTCAGCAGCCTACAAGCTGCCCAAGGCCTGACAAAGGCAAGTGATATTAAAACAAAAATGGAAAGCGTTTAAACTGGACAGACTGTTTACAAGAGTTACATCCTGGCAACATGCTGCTTCAAATCTTCACATGCTGAAATACACAAACCACCATGGGAACATGCAGGGACCTCAGGATCCATACAAACGTGGTCATTTGAAAACAAGCCCCTTCCACACATCCCACAGAAGGCCTGAAACACTCCTTGACATGAGAGTCACCCCAGAGCCCATCCAAATAGGGCAGCCATATAGTTCAAGCAAAACCACCCCTTGGTCTTCCTCTCATTGGAGAGCTAGGAGAGACTCAGGAGCTGTGGCAGGAGCGTAGCTCAGACTTCCATAACACAAAGGCAGCAGTACCTAAATTCACCTCCATTCTCCTGAACATGAGGCAGCAGTGTGCCCAGGTGGCCAAGGCCAATGGCATCCTGGCCTGTATCAGGAATAGTGTGACCAGCAGGACTAAGCAAGTGATTTTTCCCACTGGTGAGGCTGTACCACACTCAAGTCCTGTGTCCAGTTCTAGGCCCCTCAATTCAGGAAGGGCATTGAGGTGCTGGAGCAAATCCAGAGAAGGGCAACTGAGCTAGTGAAGGGTCTGGAGCACAAGTCCGATGAGGAGCAGCTGAAGGAGCTCGGGCTGTTTAATCTGGAGAAAAGGAGGCTCAGGGGGCTTTATGGCTCTCTACAACTACATGAGAGGAGGCAGTAGCCAGCTGGGTATCTGTCTCTTCTCCCACGCAACAAGCGACAGGACAAGAGGACATGGCCTCAAGCTCGTCCAGGGAAGGTTAAGGCTGGACATCAGGAGGGATTTCTTAACAGAAAGCGCGGTTAAACATCGGAATAGACTGCCCACGGAGGTGGTGGAGTCACATTCCCGGGAGGTGTTCAAGGACCGAACACGTGGCACTTCATGTAAAAGAAAACCACTCCGGGTGGAAGGCGCTGGACAGGAGAAGAGCCTTCCGTCCCGTCCCGCCCCTCGGCTGCCGGGGCGGGGGGACGCGCCCCGAAATGGCGGCGGCAGCAGCACCGCCCTCCCGCCGGCGGAAGCGGAGTGACGGCAGCGCCGGCAAGATGGCGGCGTCTAGCCTGCTGTGCGGGGGGTTGAGGCGGCTCTTCACCGGGCTCTGGGGGGGCGGCTGGGCCGCCCCGCCGGCCCGGGCCCTCCGCCAGGGTGAGTCCGGGGCGGCCCCACGTTGTCACGCTGTCCCGTCGTGTCGCCGCGGTCGCGGAGAGATGGTTGCGGTCACTGTAATTCGCCTACTCCCAGCCCCCAAATACTACTTCTTTCAGGCTGAATGACTCTCATTGTGTCCTTCTGTATCTTTTTTTTTTTTTTTTGCAGTTGCGGAAGTGACTGAAGGCAACACGACCACAGTAAGTCCCTGTACCCCTTTTCCTCAGTAGCTGCCTTTGCTATCGCTTCTCCTTCCTTCAGCCTCCAGTCATGTGTGTGGCTGTGTGTGTCCATGCCCGCCCCCCCTCGCCCGTCCCTCCCCCCCCAGCAAAGTTAAGAAAAAAAGGGCAGAAGGGCTACTTTTTCTAGGGGTGTGAAGGCAAACCCAAGGTAGGGTGTGTTGCGAGTGTGGGTAAGCAATGGAGGATTTGGCTGCTGAAGGTCAGGATTGTCACCCTGCTGCTGGTGGCAGGTGCCTCTACTCTCAGCCACCTGTGAGCACCGAACCCCTCACTACAGTCCTGGTGAAGCTGGAAGCCCTGACTAGAGGCATTCAGAACCCAAAACACCACAGTTCTTCAGAGGGTTCATTTCTTAAACTGGTGACACTCAACAATGTCTTGAGTACAGGCACAAAAGAGGGCCTGGTGGCTTTGTCATTCCATCGTGGGCTGGCAACACGATGGGGCATCGCAGGATGGCTCTGTACTGGCTGTGTGCCATGCACATCTCTTGCCTTTGATCTATGTTGTGTTTGGTAACCACTGTGTGTGCCATACTGACTGCAGGTGATACAACGCTTGCATCTTATAACACACATAGTAAGAAAAAATATTTGGTGAAAGGGGTATTTTCAAAGAAAGGCCTTAAATACTAAAGGAAAACAGCCCCTGAAAATAGAACAGAAGTTCTGAAGTAACTGCTAAAGAAGAGCATCTTCTCAGCTACACTTTAAGACAGAAGGAAAAGATTAAAGCAGTGGAATTCGAATTTTACCTAATTAACATCGTCTGATCTATTGCACTTTATTGAAAGAATTGTCAGGGAGATTGCAATATTCTGCTCACATTATTTATGCCAGTAGCAATCTATGCCTTGACTTGAGACAGGTAACAAAGATATTTTGAAATATATAAATAAGGAGAGTGGAGAAGGAATAATTTGGGAATAGAAGACAGTGCACCTAAATGCTAATCTATGTATACATAAATAATAAGAATGGGATGGACTTTTTTTGCTTCCTAATGAAACAGACAAAACCTGGTTGTTCATGCCTTTCAAAGTCTTAAGTATTTTTGTCAAAAATGTATTTTCTCAAAAATACATGAGCATTTGTATTGGTGGACATTGTCGTGTTTGAAACCTGCATGGAGCAGGTTATTTGTTCTATTAGAGATTATATATCTAAAACATATGGCAGTTAACAAGATCTCTTAAAACTGTCAACAAAAACAAGTTTAAGGTGTGACACTAGGTGTGATAGAAGGTATCTTTTTCTTGTCTTGAAATGCCAGGCAACTAATCTCTGCCCAGAAAACTGAAGAGAAGAGCTTGCAAGCGTGCCCTGAAGTTGTTCTAACCAAAACAAGGGGTAGTGTGCACACCAACAAAACACACAATGTATTTTGCACTCAATCCGTGAGTGCCTAATATAATTTACATCCCTTTACAAAGGAGATGCAAATTATAATCTCAAAGTCCCAAAACATTAACTGAGGTTTCTTGTAAAAAAGGTATGCATTACATTAGCAGAGCCCTCTATAAAACTAATTCTTCCTGAAGATTTGGGGTTTTTTGCTGAGTAATATCCTAGCATCAGTCTAGGATCCGTCAGTGCCCCTAGATGAGGAAAGTCTTGTAACAAACGGTGTAAATTGACAAACCAAAGGACTGATACGTTTCTCAGTGTATCCATTGATCACTCCATTTATCCTGCCAATTCTCTGTTCGTCTTTCCTGAATCCATCTTTCTGTGTTTATCTTTCTATGTGTCCTTGTTTTTATCAGTATTGAAGGAAGTCCTTGACATGAACCAGATGAATGAATCCCAGAGAAATCTGGATTTTATCAGCATACTGAGAATGTAGAGCCTCTTTTTGCACTCTTAAGTTGTTTAACAGAAAAATAGCAACTGAGTGAATTAGCAGTATTGAAATCCTCAGTAATAGGGGAATAATTGCTAAAGCCTGTACACTGAAAGTTATCTCAAGAAACAGTGATCTTGACATAGCATTCTGAATCTGTATTCATTTCCAGCATGGAATTACAGTCAAAGTACAGTCTGAAGCCAGACTGGCAAGAATCAAGACCAAATACACCAGCTTCCCAAAAAATAACTTTACCGATTAATAAACAATTAGATACTGGCCTACATTTTATATTCATAGTTAGGTATTTGTTTCTGTAAAACTGACTGTTTTACTTGTGGTGGTAGGAATCTTGCTTAAAATTTGACAATACTGCCTCTTTGAGATAGCAAGATGCTTGAACTACAAATAACTTATGTTTCCATTTTCCCATCACCACACAAGAAAGACACAAACCCAGAGTATGAAAGAGTTCTGCCAGTTCAGCTGGATGCCAGTTTGCTGTGCATGCTTACAGAAAATGTCTTTCGTTTCTTTTCCCAGGTTTTCCAGCACAGAACCTGATGGTTTCTTAAAAGTAACCTTGCATTCCACCCAGGGTTTCTTTTCAAACTCTCTGGTGCTTGCACTGTTTGAGCCTGTCAGTTGGTGCTCAGAATCCGCATTTAATCTTAATTTGACCAGAGGAAGCTTGCAAAAGATTTTGGAGAAAAAAGGCTTAGTTTTATTGGTTTTTCTGTCCATTTGGCTGCAATTTGAATAGCTCTTGCTTCTATTACTAAGTCCTCAAGAAAAAAAAAAACAAGTGCACATGTAGATAGACTTCATATTCCTATATTCCTACATATCTACTTTTAGGAAACAAATTTGTCGAGTTCTTCCTTTACACACCTTCTACATCTCTTTACATGTTACTTGTGAGAAAACTTGAGTGTTAGACATCACCACTTTGAAGTGACATAGAAAAGATCATCTTATAATCTCAAAAAAGAATTGTCCAGCAAATTAAACTGGATAAAATATTGGTGTATGAAAAAAAAACCCCAAAAAAACCAAACCAAAACAAAACAAAAAAAAAAAAGAAAACCACAAACTCCACAGATGTCTCCTAGCAGTCCTTTCTTAAATTTAACTTTTGCTCAGAATTTGCCCTGTTTGTGATTTATAATCTAGCAAGCCCCTGCATGTTTTTGTCTATAATGTGCATCTGCTATTCTGTGATATTCTTGTATTCCCAGAAGAAAATTGTTTTCAAGGTTTTGGCTAAAGGGACACTACAACTTTAAGGCGTGGTGTTTCAAAAGAGTACTGCTATAAACAGAATTTGGGTGAATATGAGAACTTCATACTGACTGTAAACTAGGTTACATTTAGTTACACAAGAATTTACCAAAGGGTTTTCTATGCCCTCTGGATTTGTTCTTCTCCCCATAGTCTGTGGCATAGATGTTCCAAAGTGCTTGGTGTACCTATATAAAAGTGAGTTGAATGCAGATACTCTTTTCCTTACATCTGCACAGAACTGATCAACATATTGTGGGCTTCATGGAAAGTATTCCTTTAGTCACAGGTGCAGGTAAAGGTCTAAGCTATGTCTGATCACTGCATCCTTTAAATTGCTTCCTAGATTGAAGGGAAAATTATAGAGGATGCTGAAGCACCAACTCCTCCAAACCCCTCTGGCCAGTGTCCCATCTGTCGCTGGAACCTGAAGCACAAGTACGATTATGTGGTAAGTTTAATGAAGGAGTTCCCCCAACCTCATAGCTAGATCAGATGGCTCTCAGATCTACGTACTGCACAACCTGCCCCTCTCGTCTTTTGCTGGGTGTAGTAAAGATACTTAACTCCATCTCTGCTTCTCTTGGGTGTAACAAGAGCTTTCTACAGAGTAATTGTTTGCCTTGGCTGATGGTGTTCCTGGGAAAAAGAACGATGAGCTCGTATCAAATAGGAGATTTGGAATTATACAAATGGCCATCTGCTCTGGGAAGGCCATATATTTCTTCTGTGCCCAGCTGCCTTTCAGCATTGCACTTCCAGGAGAATCAAACTGGAATGCAGCATTAAGTCAATGGATACAGACGTGTTCTAACTCCAGAGAGGCCAAAAGACTTGGCTAGATCAATTATATGACTTCAAGCACTACAATTTCTCAATGGGTTATTGTCCACTAAGTTAATAACTGTTTCATATAACCTTTAAAAGTGTTGATGAGTACAAAGGAGAGCATACATTTTTTACATACCTTGCAACAGAAAAAACAGGTTTTATTCAAGCTTTTTGCAGGAAATGCTAATGAGAGGTTCATTAACTAATGAGGGGATAACTAACATTAAATCTAGAATATGGGAAGGAAATCCTGTAGTACTTTAAAACAGAAGTACAACAGTCAAGAACACTTTAGAATAAAAAGCGTGAGATAGAAGATGCAGAATGTAACTTTACAAGAGGTCATTCAAACACAGAGTTTACAAAGGGACTAAGTTCCCCCCTTGCAATCTAAAAACCCAGCACTGGTATTAGAAAAGAAGAAAACCAGACAGGAACATGCTGTTACTAAGATAAGGGAACAGAAAACTCAGAATAAGTTAATGTCAATAGGATTACAGAGATATAAATACATCGGAGGAAAAGAAATGTTTGTGAGAAAGAAATTCCATTAATGAGAGAAGGGGACTGAAAGCCACATTTGTTGCAGAAAGACTAAGCATGTAGTCCTAGTGCACACACAGAAAAGAAAAATCATGTTTTAATATCTGTTTAATAATGGCAATCTTGAAAA